TGCAGTCTTGTCTGTGGAGTGTGGGGACAGAAAACGGTAAGGCGGGCAACTGTTTAACTTAAATCCAGACAAGGCCATTTTTGAGAGGCACCACACAGGAAGCTGGGACAGCAAGAATAAACCTGGGCACGTGGGCAAGATCCCGGGTAGCTGGCACAGCCAGATCCTCTGACCACATGGGGAATGAGAGCTGGTCTGACATGCCTGGATCTGGCCTCCGTCTCCCTGGCACAGGTGGTAACCCTGGCATGGACCTCTGCCCACTACCAGAAAGGACTGGAGCACAACTAACGTGAGCTCTGAATGAAAGCAAACTCTGGAGCGGGAAGTGAGGAAGGAAAGTGCAAGCTTAGGTGAACAGGGTGGAGAGATGCCTGCTACACATGCTCTCCACATATTCACTGACAGTCCACTCTGGGCCAGGCCCTGATCAAGACACTGGGGTTTCTGCAGAAAGTAAAACAGACAAAATCTCTGTCTCTACCCCTTTCTCCCTACCCAGGAAGGTGTTTCTCTCTGATAAGGGGAAAATGCATCAATACATGTGTACTATGTCAGCTGGTGTTCAGTGATAGGGATGAAAGTAAAGTTGGCAGAGGGCTAGGAAGGGATGGACAGGGGACAGAAGGGAATGAAGGGCGGATGGGCAGGCAGGTCGGGGGGAGGGGTGGGGAACACAGGTGAGGTTGGGGTGAGGTGGTCTGCTCTCCAATGTTTATAACTTTGTGGACCTCTGCTGTCCATCCATATTCCATTAGGGAGAAAAGATGTCCCTCAAGTGGCCTAGGTAGAGAGAGCTTTCAGAAGGAGTGAGTGACATACATACACATGCAGCCTTGGGAGGCTGACAGCATGAGCCAGCTGAGTGGAAAAAGGGCCCATGGGTCAGCATTCTGTGACCATCCAACCCACCCCAGCTGACTCTCCAGATGTGCAGTGAGCACCTCTGTCTCCTGGATTCTTTCTTTCCTGCACCCGGTTTGCCCTGGCTCATTTCTGACTCCCAAGCTCTGATTCATGTCTTTGCACTGTCTGGAATGCTCTTTCAGTTTTTAATTATATCTTGTTGACCAGGGAAGGAAGAGATGGTAAAAAAAAAAAAGTAAGAGGGGCAAGAAGAAGTGAAGGTAGAAAATAAGAAATACAGAGCGAGCTACACACCAAAATGCAAGGAAGATGAGAGACACAAAAAGATGAACAATAAAATAATAAGAGAAGGAAAGTTAACTGAGTACCAACGACCGTCAGTGATTTACAAGTATTCATTTTTATTTATTTATTTATTTTAATTGGAGGCTAATTACTTTACAATATTGTGGTGGTTTTTGCCATACATTGACATGAATCAGCCATGGGTGTACATGTGTTCCCCATCCTGAACACCGCTTCCAGTTTCCTTCCCATCCCTTCCCATCCCTCAGGGTTGTCCCAGTACACCAGCTTCGAGTGCCCTGTTTCATGCATCTTAAACCTTACGGCACTCCCATTTTACAGATGAGGAAACTGAAGCTCAGAGAATTAAGCTCCTTGCCAAAGAGCATGTTGTGGTGAGTGGCACCAAGCTGGCCACAGCTACCTCATTATTGCTCTAAGTGGGGAAAGAAAGACAGTTATCCAGACTGATGGGGTTGAGGGGTTCTTGAAGGTTTCAGAGCTCAGCCACAAGGTGTTCTTAGGGCAGACCCTCTAAAGCAGAGCTATTCTACCTACTAGAGAGTGCCTCTTTCAGTCCAGTAGATAAACAGAGATGCAGACATAAAACATGTTAAATAACAGAATGTTTTCTCTGTTTATCAGACAGCTTTCATTGTAGAGAGGAGCCTATTAATTTCACCATTCCTCCAACAAATACTCTTAGTTTCTAATATGTATAAGTAATCCTGAGAATTTGACATTTAAACCAGCACAAGTGCATTTGTATACATGTTGAAAAGTATGTAATTATTGCATGAGATGAGGAGCAACTTTAATTTGCTTCCAAAAGCTTTTGTTTCCAGAGCAGAATTTCAGTTTTTCCCAGACACACTTTGCTTGGAAATCAAGGGCAGTGGATATGCCTTCAGGAGCACTGATGGGAGCCTTCTCAAAGAAGGGAGTGGGAGGGGTTCCATCATCAACCAAGTCAGGAGTTTCTAGCCATTGATGTTTTTAAAAACTGTTATTATTGAGACTTCCCTGGTGGTACAGTGGTTAAGACTCCTTGCTCCCAATGCAGGGGGGATGGGTTCAATCCCTGGTCGGGGAACTAAGATGCTACATGGCAAGGCCAAAATACAAAAAAAATTGCAATTACTGCATTATTTTTTAAAATTTGAAGTACAGTTGAGTTACAAAGATGTCTTAGTTTCAGGTGTATGGCAAAGTGATTCTTTTCATTATAGGTTATCTATTCATTGCTTGTGATGAAGCTCCTGGGGAGAGTGAGGAAAGGGCTTTTCATTCAGGCAATAGTCCTGATGGGGGCAAAAAAAATCTTGCTCTGAAGTGAGGCATCAAGATCTGCTGGCAGATTCAAGTCTCTGGTAGGAGGCCTCTCAACGAGAGTGCAGACAGGACCTAGCAAAGCTTATTTGTTGATAAGCATGAGAATGTGATTTCTTGTTCTTTTTAAACATTTACTCTATGCCAGACACATAATATCCTCAAATAATAACCCAACGTACAAATCAAGACAGTTTCAGAACAAAGCCTACTAGAAATGAATATAAATAAAAACTTACTGCAAAATTAATATAAAACAGATTCCAGGCAGATGTCAGGGGCCTTTGATAAGCACTTTCTTTCTTTGGTTAGGTCATGTTACTAAAACCTTACTGCTCTATTTATAGCAGGGACCTACTTTTAGAATGTTCTTCTAAAGACCATGCAGAGTTCCCACTTAACCTTGGTTGTGGGTAGGGGTGGGGGATGAGGAGAGGGCTGAATGAGGATGAAAGGGGCCAGGAGTGACAGAGGGAGCCAACCCCTCCTGCCCCAGCCTCTCATTCTTAAGGACAGTGGCACGAGCAGTACCATTGAAAGCCACAATCAACTGACACAGCACTCAAGGGTCTGCTCTGTCTCAAAGATGTCTATTTAAAACACGGAAGAGAAACGGTCCTGTCTGGCTTGCATTCCCCTCTGACAACTCATCTGTCTCTGCTTTCTTTTCTCTCAATAGCAGTAAGTTAGAAAAGATATTGTCAATAGAGACAGACTTTTTAAACAAACATTTAAAAAGCTGTTAGTGTTTTTCAGTAATAATTAACATAGATCATGTTAGCAACAGAACTACTTGAGAAGATAAGGTTCAACTATCCTTTTGGTTTAAATGTTTTTATGTCTCATGCAGAGATCTAAGATGAAAAAAAGACTGAAATTAATTTTGAAATACCAATCTACTAAATATACTTGTGTGTTCTTCGCACAAACTCAGACACAGTATCTATAGAGGGAAGCTATTCCATGCAAACATATATTGCAATAGAGCAAAAGTCCAGCTGGATATTAAAGCCAAAAGAATCAGAATTTTCAAGAGGGAGGAAAAAAAAAAAAAAAGGCAAGTCCAAGATCCATCCTCCCATTCATGGTAGTGCAAATACAGGAGGCAAAGGATCAGGAATTTCTGCCAGAAGTCAGAAAAATACTTTCTTAAAAAAAAATTAATTAGGGTAAAGATAGAAAAGAGGAAAAAGAAAAAAAAAACATAAATTAGACCTGTCACTATTCAGTGATGCCCCAAATTAGAATTGTCACTACTCAGTGGTGGGAGAAATAACAAGAGCCTTGGCATGGATAAGGACCTATCTAATGCAATTCTTCACTCTCATGCTAAATACGGAGGGCTGGATAACTCCATGCCTCAGTTCAATTATAGCATGCAAATGTCTGAGCTCCTTGCTTTCTAAAAACAGAAGCAGGGCAAACAGACCAAATGAACACAAATGTATATTTAACAGACACACATCTGTCTGTATGAAGGATAGGAAAGCAACAGAATGAACTAGGTTTTCCTGGTCACTTCTGACAAATGGTTCTCCAGTTCCAAAAGTTTCTTGGGCTACTGACCCTAAAGGAAAAAGAACTTTAAAAAAGAATACCATTTACATTTAGCTGCTCCTGTCTCTTCTTCCCAGATCCTTCATCTCCATTCTCTCCAGCTTCCACACTGTCAGTCCCTGTACTGGTGTAAAACCTTTAACTCTGTCCTGTCTCTCCTGCACTCAAGGGCATCTCAAACCAGGCAATTTGGCATCAGAACCTCCTCCCAGCCTTTCTTGGAAAACACATCAGGGCAAAGGAAAGAGGCCATAATTTTCTGACGGCAGGCCATTTCTCCAAGCGCTAGTCTGAAATGAAGATAGTGCTATTTCCAGTTTATAAATACACATGGGAAAATCCACTTAACCCCCCGCCAGCTCTTCGTATCTTTTTGTTTGGTCTGGTGAGCAAGACCAAGGCTGGGACCAGAAGGAGCTTGGCAAGGCTGCCAGGGCGCCCCCTTGCACCTCGAGCACAAATAAAAGCTACTGGATGGTATCTCCCGTCATCATTTGCTTTCACAGCTGTCTACACATAAACCCAAAGAGTTAGCATCCCTGAAAACAAAAGACAAAACACAAAATGTGAAACGGGCAACTGTTTCCACTTGCTCACAGATAACAATATTCTTTACTGCTACTCGGAGTGGAAAAGTACCGCTTGATATTCACCAGATGACCTCTAAATGCCAAAGACTGGGCATGCTCTGTTTTTCTTTCACTGGACAAGGGAATGTGGAGAGGAAATGGGCCGAATTCATTAGAACTCAGTTAACATACCTAGAGGTGTTTCTGAGCATTAGCATCAAGCAAACTGCTTTCTGAAACCTCCTGTTTGATTTGATTCAGAGCAAGCAACTCAATGTGGAAAGCAGAAAATCTGCCGTCTCGTGACTTTACCAAAGCCCAGACAGAAACCATAGCCTGGAGCTCTCCACCTGCCCTTTTATAACAGAAGAAAGGATGCAGAGGTTCGCTTACCTTAAAGTTGTGTGTCTTCTCATAGTTGAAGTGGTTGTCGTTGTGTGTGAGGGCGGCCCTTCGAACCAGGGAGGAGATCTGTGGACAGGCAAAGAGTTTGAGAGGGGGCCAGAGAAAGGCGCCTTTGACTCCCACCTTCACCCCCAAGGCCACGGCCAGGAGCTCCTGGCGTTTTCTGCCTGGCTTAGGCTTCCGAACCACAGCACACTTCTTCTCACTCTCCAGCCACAGTTCCTCGGAGAACATAGTGACCAGACCCCAGATCTTTCTGGTTTCCTCTGCGGAGTCTGGGCAGTGCAGCGCCGTCAGATTTTTTGAACCGTGGCTAACGTTAGGCAGCAGATCCCAGGCAGCTGCGTTCCGTCTGCAGAGGCCTGGGGCATGTGACCTGGAAGGGCCGGTTTGAGTGATGGAGAGGGCTCTGCATCTGAATAGGGACAGGCCTGTTTTGTTCTGTGTTATTTCTCAAGGCCGACGTGTGCCTGGAACAATAGCACACATTCATGAGCGCAGCACCCCCCAGAAGCTGCATCCAGTCAGCCCCTGAGGAATCAATGGAGGAGGCAGGGGCTGGCAGCTTTATTCCTCCTGCCACAGCGCATTGCAAAGGAGAGACCTCAAATACTCGCTCGCATATTTCACACACACACACACCCACACACACACACACACACACACCCACACCCACCCCCAACCCCAACCAACCAACTCTGATCTTCAAAGCCTGAGGCTGTATCCAATTATTCTGGGGCTCTGAACCCCATTCTGGGCTGAATTCCAGCAGATTAAACCTTTAAACCCTAATGACTGTTTAATCATATAGGGGATAAAGCCTGCATCTCTTAAAAAAAAAAATATGCCCCAGCACTTGAAAGCTTAATTTTTATTCTCATGCTTACATTAAATTAGAACAGTCTGACCACTGAATGGGGCATACAAGAACTGTATATAGCGTTTCAGCTCTGGGATCTACAGTTACAAGTTTAAAATAATAGAGAGGATTTCTTGCCCCAGGATACCCCCATCGTCCCCCCAACCCACCACAAACAACCCCTCCCATGCAAAGAAGACAGTATTCCTTAACTAAAACTAAAACATCATAGTTTTTTTTTCTTTCAAATAAAACATTTTCAATGTTAACTCTGTTAGTATCCAAGCTAATGCCCTCCTGGCTCTTAAAAGCATCATCTGTTTGATGGTCTCTCTCGGGACCCTGGTTTTTTGGTTCCAGGTCTCTGCATTAATAGAAGTGAGGAAATCATTATCTCTTAATGAGTACTCCTAATCTGTTGGCAAAGTTTAATGCAGCTAATGCCAGACAATAAAATCAATGCTTTTGGAACTGGAAAGCAAGAACGTGGATGGCTGGACCATGATGCAGATGGGCCTGTCCATGAAATTCATCTCATCTTCTATGTGGCCCCACGTTCCAGCCCTTCCAAGCAGCCATGGGGAGAGTAACAAAACATCAATCTTTTCCTTGTGTAATTCTTTATTCCTGGCAATTAAATTCCAACTTGGTTCAGATGTCCTGCCTCTCATTTCACCTCCTTTTAACTTCTGATAATAATAACAATCAATTTTTATATTGGGCTTTTGAACACATTAACTTGTTAAGCCAGACAAGATTCAGAATGTGTTAAATGCACTGACTCATTTAATCTGCAGCTCATAGTTTGCAGCTCTGTATGCAAAATAAGATTTCTGTTCTCATTTTGTGGATGAGGAGATTAAGAGATATTTCAGGGACATGCAACTAGTTTAGGCAGCAGAGCCAGGACTAGAACCCAAAACACCTGCACCCAGCACCTGTGTTCTGAAGCCCATACCCTAGCACCTGGGTAGGCAGTGCAGTGCTGCATCATCCACTGAGTCTTGCCAAGTGCTTTATCTGAAATATTGGTCAAGTCTGCGCCCTCCTTACCATTCTTGTCCCACAGTAACGCAGAGCCTAGATCTCTCTCCAGTCTACACAGCTACCCAACAGTCTTCTTATCCACTCCACCTTTGCTCAGAAATGTCAGTGAATCCCCCCGGCTTGACTGCATCCTCGTCTTGTGGGTTTTACATGAGCTCATCTCAACCTATCCATCTTATCTATTTTCCTATACTCTCCACCACAAATCCTACAAAACTTCTTCTCTGACATACTCAACTTTCTACCTTGGTAGCTTGCTCTGTCTTTTAGCATTTTCTAGCACCATTTCTATGTTTACATATCCACCAACCTTCACATTCTAACTCAAATACCTCCCTCTCCAAAAAGACTTCTCCAAACTCCCCATTGGAGGCAAACACTGCTTTGTAATCCGTAGTGTTTTTCTCACATTTTTCTTATTGCACTTAATCACTTTCTATCTTAGAGTGACTTATAACAGGTCTTATAGTCTGCCATATTGAAAATCTGCTGTGATACGTTTTATGTCTGGTTCACATTTTTTTCCTCCTACACGAGTGTCTAATAAGATTCCTTCAGTAGGTGTTAAATAAGTTGTCAGAAAGCACCTATTCATGTAGGAAACCAGAATAATGGAGGAAGGTGTGCAAAAGTGGCTGCATGGAGGGTCTCCTGCCCCATCCATCACCAAGCTCTAGCTTCCAAGGGTGTAAACCCCCAGGGGTCTGCCCTCCTGACGGTCTCCACCGGATTCCTTAGCCCTCCTTCCTGTTGCCCAATCTTAGAGGACATCTGCCACACACAGGGGTTGAGTGAACGTCTGGCATGCCTTTAACAGTCTTCTAGTCCTTAGCCTAAAGGCAAAAAGCCAGAGAGGAAGAATAGGGTCCCTTCTCTAAACTTCCCAGCTAGCAAATCAAGACAGAGCTTTTGACAGCAAGTCATTCTGTGTGAGCACATATTCTGTGATCGAATTAGATTACATGGAGACATGGCTTTAGAATCTGAATAAAATAACTCTTTAAATGGAAAGTGGGCAAAAGGGGTCTCCTTTACCTTTTGGTGTGTGAATGGTTGAATACAAGCTTTAACATTTTTCTCATGTCTGTGCTTTTACTTTCAACAAGTACTTTTTATTTCTATTTGTGACAGGGATTTCTTTTTCAGATATTTGTTTAATAGAATTTACCCAAACACAAGACACATTCAGGCATGTAAACAGACACTGTTCAATTAAGATGCATCTTTATAGGGAACTGTTAAGGTTGGCATTTGAGCAAACATTATTCTGAGGAGTGTGGATGACCCCAGTCAACCTCATATTAAAGGAAAAATGCTTACAAAAGTCACTTGGTAAAAACTTCCCTCTTAAACAACCCCACTACACAGAATTCTTATCCAAGCTCCTCCAGGACTGTGGCTGGGTCTCTTCTATATCCCTACAAAGTCTAACACATGTTCTCTAATACACAGAGACAGGCTAGCCGTCTTTTTCTGACAAAAATTTCTATCTGACCTGTTTTCATTTATATGTTCATAAGAGAAAGTGCATGTCCCTACAATCTGTTTAAATCAGGAATTGTCCGGGCTTCCCTGGTGGTCAAGACGCCGCACTTGCGATTCAGGGGGCACAGGTTCAATCCCTGGTTGGGGAACTAAGACCACCCCCCACCTCCCAGAATGTTGTTAAATCAGGGATTGTCAACCTTGGAACCACTGACATTTGGGGTTGGATAATTCTTTGTTGTGGGGGCTGTCCTGTGCCTTTACAATGTTTAGCAGCATCCCTGGCACTACCCAGTAGACACCAGTCACACCTCCCAATTGTGATGTCACAAATCTCTCCAGACTGCCACATTCCTCCTCTGAGGAGAAACTGCCCTCAGTTGAGAATACAGGGGTTAGATTAATAACAAACATTTACAGCATACTTTCTCTGTGTCACATATTTAATATGCTAAGCACTTTGCATGCATGCATGCTCAGTTGCTCAGTCATGTCTGACTCTTTGTAATCTCATGGACTGTAGCCTGCCAGGCTCCTCTCCAGGCAAGAATACTGGAGTGGATTGCATTTTGTTTCTCCAGGGGATCTTCCCGACCCAGGGGTTGAAGCCACATCTCCGGCATTGGCAGGCGGATTCTTTACCACTGAGCCACCTGGGCCCTTCTAAGCAGTTTGTATAAATTGGCTTAAGTTTTATAACTCTCTGAGGTAGGTAGTTATAATTACCTCCACTTTACAGATGAGAAAATGGGAACTGAGCATTTAAGTGATTTGCTCAAGGTCACACAGCTGATAAGTGGTAAAGCTGAGATTAGAACCCAGGCACAATGCCTAGGTCTATGGTATTTTTTGTTTGTTTTTTGTTCCGCAAATCAGTTTATTTTTTATTGTGATAAAAGCAGCATAACAGCAAATCTACCATTTTAACAATTTAAAAGCATAATTCAGCAATTCAGTGGTATTACATACATTTACAATGTCCTGCAAGCATTACCACTATCTAGTTCCAGAACATTTCCATCATTCAAAATGAAACCTTTTACCCAATTAAGCAGTCACTCACCATTCCCTTGTCCCTCCAGCCTCTGGCAACCACTAATCTGCTTTCTCTATGGATCTGCCTGTTTTGAATACTTTATATAAATGAAATATGCAATCTGTGGCCTTTTGTGTCTGACTTCTTACTTTTTATTGCTGAATAGTAATCCATTGTATGGATTAATATGGATGGTCCACATATTATTTATCCATTCTCCAGGGGATGTACATGTGGGTTGTTTTCACCTTTTGACTACTGTGACTACTGCTGCTAAGAATATTCTTGAACAGGTTTTTTTGTTTGAACACCTGTGCCAGTTCTTTTGGGTGTAACACTAAATCTATGCTTTTAACCACCCTCTAAACTGCCTCTCATCCAAATATTGCTCACATTTTGAAATATTCAGAGGCTAAAATGCCAGAATTACTCTCTTCCCCATGGTTAACCTGTTAACAACTCCCAGGACTGGTGTGGCCTGATCTGGTTTCACTGAGGAGACTTTTGTTTTCACTGGGGCCTCTGCCGAAGCAGACACGACTTAAGATACTTCTGTTAGTAGGTGGGGCTATAAATAAACGGTGAAATAAGTTCACCACTTCCCTTTTCCTTTTTTATAAATAAGGGCTGGGATTCTAT